TCCAGCTGTTCGTGCTATAGAGCTCCAGGGAGCAGCATCCAAACTTGCCATCGGACACCGAGGCAGCTCCCGCTGAGGTGTCCGATGTCTCGTCCTTCCACCGCGCACGTCGCTGCCCACCACGCAAGCCCGCCCGCCTTGGAGGCTGGGAGCGCCTTTCCAAGATGATGTTTTGCAAGCAAGAATTCTTCTTCTGGCCGCACACCCGTCAATGCTGAGAATTGTCGTCTCGATCTGGATTAGACTCGAAAGGGATAGTATTGCTCTGTCCACGTGTCCGCATCGTGCTAAAATGTCTGCGAGTATCGAGCCTTGCGCGGCTCCATGTCCGTTCAATCTATAACGCGGTTGCCTAACACATGTGTAATCGGAGGTGAGGGGGTGAGATCGAAGTGGAACGGAGAGCCCCCTACCAGGAAATCGGTTTTCGGTTTCGTGTTCGCGCGTGCCGTGCGTGCGGGCGAGGCGAAGCTGCGTGGGCGGGCGAGAAATACGTCTCCTGTAGCTGAGGCGCGGCCGGACCAAAAGTCTCCCTTCCGGCAACTGGTGCCCCGCGGTGTCCCGCCGGTGTCCCGCTCGGGGGCCGGTGGCGCGCGGTGTCCGCCGGTGTCCCGCCGGTGTCCCGTCGGTGTCCCGACGATGATGATGATGATGATGATGATGATGATGATGATGATGATGATGATGATGATGATGGTGCTGATGCTGATGCTGATGCTGATGCGTTTGATGATGTTTACGATGATGATGATGATGATGATGATGGTGATGGTAGTGATGATGATGGGGCCCCGATGATGATGAGGTTGACGATGTTGATGATAATAATAATGGTGATGGTGGTGATGATGGTGCACCGATGTTGATGGTTATGGTGATGATGATGATGATGTTGTTGCTGATGATGATGGTGGTGCCCCGATGATGATAACATGTTGATGATCATGATGATGTTGATGATAATCATATGAATTGTTGATGATGGTGATGAAGATGATGATGATGATGATGGTGTCCTAGTGATGATGATGATGAGGTTGATGATGATGATGCTGTTGATGATGATGGTGATGACGATGATGATGGTGTCCCGATGATGATGATGATGATAATGATGATGACGATGATGGTGTCCCGATGATCATGATGATGATGTTGATGATTATGATGAGGATGAGGTGATGATGATGGTGATTTTGATGATGGTGTCCCCATGATGTTGATGATGATGATGATGGTGAGGATGATGATGGCGACGAGGATGATGGTGTTCCAATGATGACGATGATGATGTTGATGATGATGATGCTAATGATGACGATGGTGCCCAAATAATGATGATGTTGATGGTTTTGTTCATGATCAAGATGGTGAGATGATGATGACGATGATGGTGGTGCTCCGATGATGATGATGGTGTCCCGATGATGATGTTGATGATGATGATGATGATGGTGACGATGATGGTGTCCCGATGATGATGATGATGATGATGATGATGATGGCGGTGATGATGTTGATGATGATGGTGAGGAGGTGATGATGATGATGATCGATTGTGATATCGATATTCAGATCGATCGTTCGACCGAATAAGAAATCAATTGTGAGATCGATAGTGAGATCGATAGTGCGATCGATTGTGAGATCGATAGTCACATCGATTGTGAGATCGATCGAATGAAATAGATCGAGTGAGATCGATTGTGAGATCGATCGAGTGAGATCGATCGAGCGAGACCGATAGTGAGATCGATAGTGAGATCGATAGTGAGAGACGTCGGTTCCTCCCCCCCCCGAACCTCCTTATCACCCGAAGGGTGGTCGTATAGTAAGCCTGTAGAAGGTTGGGGGGTGAGTCTGACGTGAAACGGAGACGCCCCCTACAGGGAAATCGATTTCGGTTTCGGGTTCGTGTCGTGCGTGCCGTGCGCGCGTGCGGGCGAGGCGAAGCTGCGTGGACGGGCGCGAGGAAATCCTCCTGTGGTTGGGCTGCGGCCGGACCAAATGTGACTCCTCCGGCTGCCGGTGCCCCGCGGTGTCCCGCCTGTGTCCCGAAATCCTCCTGTGGCTGGGCCGCGGCCGGACCAAATGTAACTCCTCTGGCGGCCAGTGCCCCGCGGTGTCCCGCTGGTGTCCCGAAATCCTCCTGTGGTTAGGCCGCGGCTGGACCAAATGTTTCTCCTCCGGCGGCTGGTGCCGCGCGGTGTCCCGACGGTGTCCCGCTGGTGTCCCGAAATTCTCATGTGGCTGGGCCGCGGCCAGACCAAATGATGCTCCTCCCGTCAAACGGTGGCCCGCGGTGTCCCGCTGGTGTCCCGCCGTGGGTTGTGCACTTCAAAACATCGCCGCTTCCAGCGAGCTATCCAATGCAAGTCTGCATGCAAACTGACATGCAGACCGCGGGGACAGCGCTTCACAACTATGTCGAGTGCGCTTCGCCAACATCACATCACGCTCACGTGCACAATCACACTACTCACTAGACTCCGCACCAGAGGCATCGTCAGAACAACAATCACCACTTTTGCCCATTGCTGTCCCCCCCAACCTCCTTATCACCCGCAGGGTGGTCGTATATGTATGGATGTGTATACTTTTGTGTGAGCATACGCATGCGTGTTAACCAACGTGGCACCCCAACAGTGCGACATTGCACTATGGAGGTGGAAGCTATGCGGCTGAAGCTGTGGTGAAAGCTATGTCGTGTAAGTTGGAGGTTTGAGCAGAGGAGGTGAATACCATGCGGTGGAAATTATGTGGTGCAAGCTATGTCGTGTAAGTTCGGCGGTGTGAACTAGAGGTCAAATCAATGGGCGTGAACTATGTGATGTGAACTGTGTTGTGATATATGCGGCGTAAGCTATGTGCTGTAAGGTATGTGATGCACGCTAGACTATGCAAGATATGTCGTGTGAGCTCAGAGCGCGGGGCGACCACGAGGCACCCGCGGTGCGGTACGGGCGGCAGTGTGGCGCACCCTGGGCACAATCACATACACACACACACACACACGCGCACACACGCGCACACACACACACGCCCAACGAACGGGGCGCACACGAGGCGCTCACGAGGAGGCACGGGCCACAACGTGGCAAAACAACAGACACGAACCACCTTAAGCGAGAGGTTAGCCAGCCTGGATCCCAAACACTACGCTGCAGGACCGTAGTGGTGATACCATGCGACGAAGGCTATGTGGTGAAAGCTAGAACGTGCACGTGGTGGCAACTCAGGAAGTAAAGCCGTGCGGTGTAGGCTATGTGGTGAATGCTGTGACATGCAAGCCATGTGGTGTGAGATGGTGAGGTTAAACCCCTGCAGTTTGCAGACTATGTGGTGTAACCCTCTTCGTGAAATATAAGCGGCGTGACCTGGAGATGGCAGCCATGGGGTGAAAGCTATGCGATGTGAGCTACGTTGTGTATTATATGATGAAATGAGGACTACGTGGTGGAAGTTACTGTAGGTCGTAAAAGATCAGGACACGAACCGCCCACGAAGCGGTCTGGGCGGCAACGTGGCACAACCTCGGAACACACACACACACACATACACGCACGCACAAGAGCGAACGGGGCGCCCACGAGGCGGCACGGGAGGCAACGTGGAATAACCGCGGCATACCCCCAAAGCGTGGGGCTGCCACGAGGCGCCCACGAGGCGGGACGGACCGCAACGTGACGAAAGCCCGGAATAACAACCAACTACTTTGAACGAGATACTAACCAGCCTGGATCCCAAACAGTGCCCTACTATACTGTAGAGGTGAACACCGTGCGGTGTAAGCTATGTGGGGAAAGCTATGACGTCTAGACTGCGTGCTGTGAGCTGAGGAGGTGACGGCCATGCGATGCAAACTGTTTCGGGCAACTTGTAGAATGCAAACTGCATGGTGTGAGACGGAATTCAAAGCTATGGGGCGTCAGCTGTGTGGTGCAAGCTATGTGCTGTAAGCTATCTGGAGTCAGTTGTGTGATGTAACGCAACGTCGTGCACGCTCTGAGCACGGGGCGCCCACGAGGCGGCACGGGCGGCAACGAGGCGAAACCTCGGCAACCCCCCCCGACCAGCGAACGGGGCGCCCTCGAGGTGCCCACGAAGCGGCACGGGCGGCAACGTGGCGCGCAACCTCGGCATAACCCCCAAGCGCGGGGCGCCCACGAGGCGCCCGCGAGGCGGCATGGGCTGCACCGTGGCGAAAACACGAATTTCAACCAATGCCCCTAAGAACGGTAAGAAGAAGCCCCCAACAACAAGCTCTGTGTGGGAAACAAGTCAGATTCCCAAGTGCAGGCACCGTCTGGGGAAGCGGTGTACACAGCTCGATAACACACACAAGATGCAAGGGCTTCGGAAGGCCATGCCGACACTTTGCGGGCGGGGCGCGGCCAGCGAAAGCGGCCAAGGATGGGCCGAAGGGGAAGGATACAAGGGCAACAAGGGAAAACTGCTCATCCTTGCCATGCGGGTTGACTGTACTCGCCAGTACTGTTTCCGCCAGTACGAGCCAAAAGGGGAAGTGAGAAGGTGCGGCCCTTCTGAAAGGCTCGGAAGTCTCCTTTCTTTTCCTGAGAATTATTGTAAGCCTTCCCCGAAGACACAAGAAACCTATCAGAAAACCGGAAGCCTTCTGAGAAGTCCTGGCGCCTTCTGAGAAGGCCTCCTCCTTCTCGCTTCCCCCTCTCGCTCGCCGCCGAGAAACACCACGCGCCGTGTCGTGTCGTTCTCGTGCCGTGCCTTCGCTGCACCGAGCAGGAGCAGGGAGGGGCCTGGACGAAAGAAACAGGGCCAGTGGGCAGAAGAGGGGAGGAGGCGGAGGAGAAGCAGGAGGAGGAGCAGGAGGAGGAGGAGGAGGAGGAGGAGGAGAAGAAGAGGGAGAAGGGCCATGCGGAAAGGGGAGCAGGAGCAGGAGGAGGAGCAGGAGGTCGCACCCGACAGATCACATGCCGCCCGCTCTTCTCCGCGCGGGGGCGGCGCTCCGCTTGGGCCGCGGCCCGTGCAGCCGACCCCCTCGAGCCACCGGCGCAGCTCGGGCTCCTGCCGCGCGGGGAGGGGCAAGCTCTCGGCCGCCTCTCGGCCGCCCCTCGGCCGCCCAGCCGCCGCTCCCTGGCCTCCACCCGCTCGTCCCGCTGACCCCAGGGTCCCAGGAGACAGGAGGAGGAGGAGGAGGAGGAGGAGACGGAGGAGACGGAGGATGAGGAGATGGAGACGGAGGAGGAGGAGGAGGAGGAGGAGGAGGACGGTGACCAGTGTAAACCCAAGACCCCCCTCCCCATTCGTCGCATCTTCCTCCTCCCACCTCCCCTCACTCTCCGCCTCCCCCTTCGCTCCCTCGCTCGCTCGCTCCCTCGCTCCCACGTTCCCCCCCCCTATTCCTCCCACCTCCCACCCTAATTACCTCCCTCCTCCATACCCCCAATTCACCTGTGACGTGCAACGCGCCTCTGACGTGCACGGCTTCTTTCTCTCTCTCTCTCTCTCTCTTTCCCATACCCCCACCCTCCCTCCCACCTCCCCCTACCCTCGCCCACCCCACCCACCCCTCCCTCCCCCAACCTCCCTTCCCCATGCCCCCCTTCCTCCCACCTCCTCCCACCTCCATCTCCCATACCCCCACTCTTCCTCCCTCCAGTTCTCCGACACAGCGGGCGCCCGCACACCATCCATCAGCCTGTTGCCCATCAACCTTATCGCCCTCTACCCCCCCCTCTCCAATCGCTGCAAGAGAACAGCCTGCAGCAACACAAACAGTCGGAGGTCCGGCAGATTTCTTAGATCGGCACTGGACCCCGCCCTGGCGGCGTCTCTGGCGCCGATCCTGGCACGTGGAGCTCTGCTTCGCGGGGCGGGAAGCTGGGAAGATCGTTGACGCGTCTTGGGTTTATGCTAGTCCTCCTCCTCCTCCTCCTCCTCCGCCTCCTCCTCCTCCTCCTTCCCCCCTCCCTCGCCCACTCCTCTCTCTAGGCTCGCCGCGGCCCGCGGCGGCGGCTCCTCCGAGAACTCCTCGGAGGCGTCCATGCCGTCGGAGCGGGCGCCGTTGGCGCTGGACAAGGGGGCCTCCCGCGGGGGAGTGGAAGGCAGGAGGGGGGCCCCGGCGAAAGAGGGGGCCTCCAGCGAGGGGGTTGAGGGACCGGAGGGGAGTGATGGGAGGTGAAGGGGGCGAGGGGAGAGGAGGGATGCAATCTCCACCCTTCTCCATCCCTGTCCTTGCAAACCACTCCTCCATGTTGTATCCCCAAACGGTTCGGCAGGGCGGGCCGGGCGCTTCGCCCGAGATTTTCACACTATCTATGATCCTAAAGCCTGCATGTTTGCAGCAATTTCACGGATGGAGGGCCGTTGGTTTTCAACATGTGTCTGTAGCCTTAGCGCCTCGCACATTCGTCGTAAAAGTTTGCAATCGTTTCACGAGTGCAGGGCGGGTGGTTTTCGAAATATGACTCTCGCCTGAGCGACGCGACCATTCGTCTTAAAAACCATAAGCGCTTCACTGATGGAGGGCGGGTGGTTTCCAACATGTGGTTTTCGCCTAAGCGCCGCGCGCATTCTTCTTAAACGTTTGCAGTCGTTTCAAGGGTGCAGGGCGGGCGATGTTCGAAATGTAACCCAAAAAGATGATCAAGCAACATATCGTTCAGAAATCTGGGTCAGCTCCCTGGAGGCTTCATGGAACAAACCTTGGCCAATTTCTGCCATCAACGCTGGAGGAGCGAACGTGTTCTAAAAACTGGGCCCGCTTTCTGGCAAGTTGGTCAAGACACGCTGGTCCAGCTTTTCGGGAGGAGGCCTCTGAAATCAAATGCTCGACTGTATGATCTTCGGCTGGGCGCCGCGCACACTCGTCCTAAAAACTCGGGGCCGCTTCACTGATGGAGGGCGAATGGTTTTCAGAATGTGGTTCTCGCATTAGCGCCACGCACACTCCAATTAAACAGTGTGTCGCAGTTGCTAAGATGAGGGCAAGTCCGTTTCAAATGTGTTCTCGGCGCCATACACATTCGTTTTAAACTTCGCAGCCGTTTCAAGGATTCGCATGCTGAAGTCCAAGGACTGGTGATCTAGCAGGACTTAGAACTGTCAGGGCGCAACAGTCACTTTGATTCTCGGTATTGGAGTTCAAGGAAAAGCGCTCGGGCACGATTTAGAGTTCTCACGACGCAACAAGGTTTTTGATTCTCAATGTTTGAAGTCCCAGGAACGGGCCACTCCCTGAGTAAGAAACACCTTCCCGTGGGTACCTATGCAGAGGAAACTTGGAGGGCGGGTGAACTGCAACACCGCCTGTGCCTTAAGTTTACGCAGGCTGGCATGATTCCTCCTCCGCCTCCCACCTCCTCCACCTCTTCCCTTATGAGCAACTCCTCCCTATCTCACCCCCGGACATGCCGGCAGGGCGGGCTGGGCGTTTCGCATGAGACTTCCTTACTACGGATGATCCTGAATCAAAGTGTACCACCGCTTCACGGACTGAGGGCGGGTGGGTTTCTAAGTGTGTCTCTCGCCATAGCGCTGCGCACATTCGTTCTGGAAGATAACGATACTTTCACGGATGGGGGGCGGGTGATTTTTAAAATGTGTCTCGCGCTCAGCGACGCCCACATTTTCCTTTTACAGTTTGCATCATATTCAAAAAATGGAGGGCGGTTCCTTTTCAAAATGCGTTCTCGCCTAAACGCCGCGCGAATTCGCCCCAAAAGTTTGCAGCTGTTTCAAGGATTCGCACGGTTGAAGTCCTAGGCATGCTGTTTTGGCACGGATTAGGATTGCCAGAACGCAACCATCAGATTGATTCGATGTGTTGGAGTCCCACGAACGGCGTTCGCGGACGACTTGGGACTCCCAGGACGCAATAAGCATCCCGATCCGCGGCGCTGACATCCTAGGAGTTGTGTTTTGGCCCGACTGGATGTTCTCAGACGGCTGCCTTCCAAGGGCACTTGAATTTACGCTGGTCCCCCTCCTCCTCCGCACCCTTCTTCTCCGCCAACGAACATACGTACACGTCGTTCATTTCAAATCGCGCTCGTTTCTAATTGTGCTCGTTTCTAGTTGTTCCGGTCCCCCTAGTGGCCAGGAAGAGGCCCAGGATAGAACAATTAGAAATAGAAGCATCTAGGCCCCCAAAAAACAAAGAACCTTCGAAAACTTAGAAGTGAACCATCTGTAAGCCTTGCGCTGGATGGCGCGCGAGCAGGGTGCAACACGAGATAATGGGCGTCGAAATGCAGCACTATTCACATCTGTCTCCACTCCTTCACCGCTACCTCCCGCCAAACCGCTGCTGTCTTCTCGACAGAAAGAGAGCAGACACGGCCTCCCACGAACCGGCCAGGGACAAACAATTGCGCCTGACCGTGACTCTCTCCGCCACCGCCACCAGAATCTCCGCCTCCTCGACCTCGTACTCTCCTCGACGCGACTCGCCTCAACTCAAATCCACCAGAGCAGGGCGTCTCTGGGGCCAACCTCATGGGCCAGGAATGGCAGCATGCAGCTGGCCCCAAGCGAGGTGCCTGGCAGTGAGCCAGAGCCCTGCACGCGGGTCGAAGAACGGGTTTCTCAATAGGGATTCGAAACCGCCACCAGCCGAGTCCGTCGCCCAGTGCCAGCACGCGAATGCTCATGAACCTCAGCACTGCAGCACCCTCCTCCTCACTCATGGTCCTCCTCCTCATCCTCCTCCTCCTCCTCCCAACTCCCCGCGCGCACCCCCCGCGCGCGCGGGAGGAGGGCAGGGAAAAGGAGAGGGGGAGGAGGGGGATGAGAAGCAGGGGAAGAAGAGGAGGAGGCTGGGGAGGAAAAGCGAGGAGGTTGATGATGCAACGCGCGCGTGCTCGATGAAATTGAGGACTGAGGGCCAGCCGGGGGGTGCGATGGATCGCACGAGGATCCACCACCTACGCCACCGCTTGGCCCAGCCCCTGAAACTAACAAGATCGGGGGCCCTCCCTTAGTGGGCCCTGGAAACGACAGGGCCGATTTTTTACCGGTTTCGTTTTGCCGGTTTTCTTCTGGTTCCGACGCCGTTTTTTCACTGGTTCCATCGCCGTTCTTTTACGGGTTTCCGCTCCGGCTCAAATCTTGAAGCCGTTGTTGTTGCCGTTTCCGGTCGCCGTTTTTGTGGCCGTTTCCATCTTCAAAGGGCACATGTTCGGAAACGGTGAAAAAACGGCCCTGCCGTTTCCGGGGCCCACTCAGGGCCCTCCCCCCCGCGGGGGCCTCCTGGAAGAAGCAGGAGCGCAGAGGAGGGAGGGGAGGGAGGCGGAGGCGGAGGAGGGGGCCGCCCTCCCACCCCCGACGGCCGAGGGGGGGCCCGCCTGCGGGTCCGTCACGACAGCGCCCTCGGCGTGCGCCTCTCCCCGGCCGGGCGCGGGCCCTCCCGCACCGGTAACGCCCTCCCGCGCGCCGCGCCCTCCGCACCCGCCCGATCGCGGCGACGCGGCGGCGACGCCCCCCCTGGAGGAGCGGAGCGCCGCTGCTTGAGCAGGGACCGACCGTCCCGGCATGCCTATAGTCCTACCACGAAATGCTCCTAGAACCCAGCAGTGTTCTAAGAACAACAGCAATGTTCGCAGAACGGTAACCCGATGTGATAAAGCAAGACAGGGTCCGCCAGAAATGTTCTAAGAACATTTCGTGGAAGCCACAAACGATTCTTAGAACATTGCTTGGTAGGGCCATAGGCGGGCCAGGACGCTTCGCCACTGCTTGAGCTGCAGCGGCAACGCCGCCGCGAGGAGGCGAGACGCTTCCCCTCGCGTCCCTCCCTCTCCTCCTGCGAGCGGGCGCCGGCCTCGGACGAGGGGTTCCCACCCGCTCGGCTCCCGTCACCGACCCTCGTCCCCAGGGCTGATGTTCGTTTTCGTTCTCCCTCGTTTTGTCTTCAATCCGCCGTTGCCGCAAAGCGAAGTCGGAACGGAAACGGCCCACGAAATCGCCAAAACACCGTTTAGGTCCAGCCCTGCTCGTTCCCGGGCGTCCCTTGCGGTGGACATGGGAGCCCTCCAAGTCCGCAGCAGAGCAGCCCCCTCTTGACGCACCAGTGTCAAACGTTGAAGGATCATTCGCGGCCCAGCCACTAGCTGCTGATGCACGTGCTCAGCATGCCGACTCCGACAGGCGCACCACGGGCTTGGGAACCCTGAAGCCGAGAAAAACACTGTCTGGAGACATCTGGGTGGGGCTAGTCACTTGCTCGCCAGTTGCAGGTTCCCTGGGCCCTCCTCCTCCTCCTGCCTCCTCTGCCCGACAACTGTCCTCCTGCGCGCTGGAGCAATGGGCGATACGTGTCCTTCAAAGGAGCGCCCATCCACAGCTGCCGAACTTGCATGCCGCGTTCGAGAGGGACCCCCCCTGCGCCAGCGAATGACGAGAGAGCGCCGGAAGCGATCCAAGTCTCGCCGGCTGCGCAGAAGGGGAGGGTCAGCGCATCATGGGCCGAGGCACGTGCGCGGACGAGGGGGCCCAAAGGCCGTGCTGCGCGCCCCTGACCCAAACAATGAGGCAGAACATCTAATAATCCCCCGTGAAAAAACGCCTGCTTCCCAAGTGATGGGAAGGGGACTCCACGGCGCAGCAGCGGAACCGGGAGGAAAGGGAGGGGGAGGCGGGGAGAGGAGGCGGAGGAGGACGAGGGGGAGGAGGAGGAGGAGGAGGAGGAGGAGGAGGAGGAGGAGGTGCGATCATCCCAACCCCGCGTGTTCTCCCCTGAGCAGGCGCCGCAGCCCCGCCTGCCTTTGGGCCAGCACCTTGGCCCGCGCCTTGAGGAGGTTGGCGATGCTGAGCCTCCGACCTGAATTCCTTACCTTGTTGTAAGAATGAAAGAGCAAATCGATGGCAATGACACAACTCGCATGTGCGTGAATGGGGCCAGCAAAAAACAGAGGGCACAGCTTCCTCTCACTTCTCCAATCGGAGTAATCATGAGGCAAGAGAGGGAGCAGAGCGGCAACAACAGGCGAACTGACAGGACAAGACAGATAGTGGAGGACGTCATCTCCTCCAACACAGCTGCATCCGAATTTGCACCTGTCGGGCCCCTGGTGGTACCTGCGGGTGGTACACCAGGCGTTGCACATAGTTTTGATCAAACTACTCATCACAAATCCAGGGAGCGTTTGCCCTAGACGACCAACTCTAATCATCAGCAGGGTTATCATTTCTTGTCGGACCGCCTCACGCCCACAGAAATACTGCAACCTCGGAATCAATGCCTTACACGCGGATTCTGGAGGGTCACTTTTTTCAATCGCACGAAGCACAGCAGCCTGGAAATTACGTTTGTCTGGGTCATCGGGGACATCTGGGATCCTATCCAGTAACTCACAAACACGGTTCAACTGGTACAGCGGGCTCTGGAGGAACAAATCAGAGAACTGGTGTGCAATCAGGAAGTCGTCAGACTCAATCAAGTCTTGGTACTGCTGAATCAGCTTGGGGAACATCTCATTTTTTTTCCGCGGTCCGATATCTGGCCGCCATGCATAGTTGCCGCAGTTGCGGCAGATGGAGCTTGACGCCAATCGCCTCAAGATCAAAGAAGACAGCTCGGGGGACAGCGTGGCGTGGCCGGTTCACGAGCAGCTGCAGACATTCATCCTCCAGACGGAACAGGGCAGGAGGCGGCTCAAGGAACTGGGCGACGAATTGCGTGACAGGCAGTGCGAGGGACTTGTAGCTCAAAATCGTCTCGACTAGCCCCAATCCCAGCCCACGTATCTCTCTGACCCTCCTCACATACTTCACCATCGGATCCCTCCAGCTCACTTCCCCTCCACCACGGCCCAAGAAAATCCCAAGATATTTCCCACACGTCCGAATACATATCCTCCCCAAATCAACTCCCATCTCATCAAACCGATCACGAACATACGACTCCTGAAACTCTTCCATAAATACAACCACGGTCTTCTTACGATTCAACTGCAATCCCGTCGCCAGGGCGCACTGGTTCATAATCACCAGCACATTCGGAACAGTCTCGAACAGGTCACTCGAGCCATGCATCAAGTCGTCCGCGAATCCACACAGACAAGACTCTGGCTCAGGCAACGCACAAACGAGGGCACGAACTATCGGGTCCAGCGAGAGCGCGAAGATCGACCCTGAGGCGGGACACCCCTGCTTAATCCCAGACTCAATCTCGAAGCCAGGAAAACGTTGACCTCCCAGGACGATGGTCGCACGAATGCCCGAATATAGGAACCTCAAGGCCCGAACGATACAACTCGGCCCCATAGGAGGAGGAGGAGGAGGAGGAGGAGGAGGAGGAGGACGTGCTGGAAATACCAGTGGGGGCAATCAAATCGCAAAGGTTTCGTGACATTCCCCCGCCCCCCCTCCCCCCGCAGAATCCTCAACCCCCCTCTCCAGCGGCCCCGATCCCAGGGCGCCTGGCCAAAGAGGGTCACTCCTGCGGCAATGCCTCGCGGCTTCTTTCGCTAGGGTTGCCCGAATTCGCTCGTCGCGTGCCGCGATGCGCGACGCGTGGTTATGTTCGCGCCCTCGCGCCCTCGCGTCGCCCCCCTTCGGGAAGGGCAGCTGCTCCGCCGCAGACCGCGGTGAGCGAAGGCAGAACACAACGGCATACACAACATGTGCGTTCGGAGGTCGGCGCTCCGAAAGCGAATCCACGTGTTCCTGGGCGGGGGGGGCCATCGGGCCCGTATCGGAGGTGAATGGGCGATTGGGGGCATCGCCCCCCGAGCTTACGGTGGGGAGCTGTTACTTAGCGGCTCCGCTCCGCGGGGCTGGAGGCTGGGAGCGGGACAGCTGGGGACTGGGACGTGGATTGCGCGTCGAGCCGAGAAACAGTGGGCCAAAACCGGCAGAGCGACACGCGAAGCCAAAGATCCGGACCGTAAGTTGCCACTGAAGGAAGGAGAACGCACTGCACAGAAATGAGATTCCGAAACACCGCGTGGACTTCTTGGACCAGCGCCAGACCCCCCTGGCGGCGCGAGGGGGAGGACAAGGGACGGCGGCCGCAGCAGGGAACGGCAGACGGACGTCACACAGACAGACACACAGACACAAAGACACACACACACACACACACGGACACACACACACACACGGACACACACACACACGGACACACACACACACACACACACCCACACACACACACACACACATTCACACACACACACACACACACACACACTTTTTGCGTCGGCGGCTGGGCAGAGGGCGACTGCTCCGGCGGATAGGCAACTGGGGACACGCTGTATGCAAATCAAGGCCGCAATGCACGAAAGGAGAAAGGGGAGGACGAGCCCCGGCGAGACGGGCAGAGAGGAAGCCAGGCCACTCAGAACTGCCGGCTGCGGCAAGGGGAGCGCCGGCCGGGGGGGGGAGCAGCGCCAGTACAGGCCGTGCTGAGCAGCACTGAGCCGAAGCTGGGGGGGGCAGCCAGGAACTGCAGCATGTGGTGAAGAGAAAACGAAGCGTAGCCCAACCTCGTGGACCGAGAAAAGTCTAGGGATGAGCCAATGCGCCGAGACAGGCGGGCAAGGCGGATGCTGAACGACACACACACACACACACACACGCGCACACACTTTCGGTCGCATGCTGCCAGGGCCACGAGCCTCGCGGTCGATAGAGGTCGGTAAATTCAGCCAAGGACAGTCAGCCCTCACGAAGCAGTGACGGCGGCGAGCCCGGTGGAGAAGTGAGAATGGGCGGACCTTCTCAGAAGACTCGGAAGTTCCCTGGGCCTTCTGAGAAGTTTCTCAGCCTTCCCCGAAGACACAGAAAACTTCTCAGAAGGCGCGAGGGCTTCTGACGACCCCCGCCGCCTTGAGAGGGCCTCTTCCTTCTCACTTCCCTCCTCGCTCGCCGCCGACAGTGGCCGGGCGGCACTGGCGGCCCAGACGGCCAAGGGTTAGGTCGGGCATGTCCTCCTACAGGCGGAATCTTGGAAGAAAATAGGGGAACAAAAAGTGTCATAAACATAAACACTCGGAAGTCCGCGCGGATTTCTCGGATCGGCGCTGGACCCCCCTCCCTGGCGCGCGGAGCGCGCCAGGGGCGGCGCCGGAAAAGCCGCCGGGGGGCCCCAGCGCCGATCCGAGAAATCCGCGCGGACCTCCGAGTTTTTACCTAACAGCGAAGAATCATAGGTTTCTAGTAGGGTCAAAAGAGAGCAGCATGACGCCCCAAGGGGGTCTGGGCGCGATCCAGGGGAGGGTGCTGGGGATTTTTTTTTGCCAACAAGTACACACTTCGTGGTCTTCGAGGTCCCAGAGCTCCATTCCCGGGCCACATTTTGAATGCCCAGAGCCAACTGTAGGCCACTTCGTGGTCTTCGAGTTCCCAGAACTCCATTCCCGGGCCACATTTTGAATGCCCGGAGCCAACTGTAGGCCACTTCGTGGTCTTCGAGGTCCCAGAACTCCATTCCCGGGCCACATTTTGAATGCCCGGAGCCAACTGTAGGCCACTTCGTCGTCTTCGAGTTCCCAGAACTCCATTCCCGGGCCACATTTTGAATGCCCGGAGCCAACTGTAGGCCACTTCGTGTTCTTCGAGTTCCCAGAACTCCATTCCCGGGCCACATTTGCTGAAAGGCTGAAGGCTGCCTGAGGCTGAGGCTGAGGCTGAGGCTGAGGCTGAGGGCTGAGGCTGAGGGAGGCTGAAGGCAGAGGCTGAGGCTGAGGCTGAAGGCAGGCTGAGGCTGAGGCTGAGGCTGCAGGCTGAGGCTGAGGCAGGCTGAGGCTGAGGCCGAGGCTGAAGGCAGACTGAGGCTGAGGCTGAAGCAGGCTGAGGCTGAGGCTGAGGCAGGCTGATGCTGAGGCAGGCTGAGGCTGAGGCTGAGGCTGATGCTGAGGCTGAGGCTGAAGGCTGAGGCTGGCTGAGGGCTGAGGCTGAGGCTGAGGCTGAGGCTGAGGCTGAGGCTGAGGCAGGCTGATGCTGAGGCAGGCTGAGGCTGAGGCTGAGGCTGAGGCTGAGGCTGCAGGCTGAGGCTGAGGCAGGCTGAGGCTGAGGCCGAGGCTGAAGGCAGACTGAGGCTGAGGCTGAAGCAGGCTGAGGCTGAGGCTGAGGCAGGCTGAGGCTGAGGCTGAGCAGGCTGATGCTGAGGCAGGCTGAGGCTGAGGCTGAGGCTGATGCAGGCTGAGGCTGAGGCAGGCTGAGGCTGAGGCCGAGGCTGAAGGCAGATTGAGGCTGAGGCTGAGGCTGAGGCTGAGGCTGAGGCAGGCTGAGGCTGAGGCTGGCTGATGCAGGCTGAGGCTGAGGCAGGCTGAGGCTGAGGCCGAGGCTGAAGGCAGAGAGGCTGAGGCTGCAGGCTGAGGCTGCAGGCTGAGGCTGGCTGCAGGCTGAGGCTGAGGCAGGCTGAGGCTGAGGCTGAGGCTGAGGCTGATGCTGAGGCAGGCTGAGGCTGAGGCTGAGGCTGATGCAGGCTGAGGCTGAGGCAGGCTGAGGCTGAGGCCGAGGCTGAAGGCAGACTGAGGCTGAGGCTGAAGCAGGCTGAGGCTGAGGCTGAGGCAGGCTGAGGCTGAGGCTGAGGCAGGCTGATGCTGAGGCAGGCTGAGGCTGAGGCTGAGGCTGATGCAGGCTGAGGCTGAGGCAGGCTGAGGCTGAGGCCGAGGCTGAAGGCAGACTGATGTGAGGCTGAGGCTGCAGGCTGAGGCTGAGGCTGGCAGGCTGAGGCAGGCTGAGGCTGAGGCTGAGGCTGAGGCTGAGGCTGAGGCTGAGGCTGAGGCAGGCTGAGGCTGAGGCTGAGGCTGATGCAGGCTGAGGCTGAGGCAGGCTGAGGCTGAGGACGAGGCCGACGGCAGACTGAGGCTGAGGCTGAAGCAGGCTGAGGCTGAGGCAGAGGCAGGCTGAGGCTGAGGCTGAGGCAGGCTGATGCTGAGGCAGGCTGAGGCTGAGGCTGAGGCTGATGAAGGGTAAGGCTGATGAAGGGTGAGGCTGATGCAGGCTGAGGCTGAGGCTGAGGCCGAAGGCAGACTGATGTTGAGGCTGAAGCAGGCTGAGACTGAGGCTGAGGCAGGCTGAGGCTGAGGCAGGCTGAGGCTGAGGCAGGCTGAGGCTGAGGCTGAGGCAGGCTGAGGCTGAGGCTGTGACTGCGACTGCCGTTGCCACTGCGACTGCCATCGCGAATGCGACTACGACTGCGAGAACAGCAAAATTCCACAACAGGATTATCATCTGAATCTCAAGGGGAATGCTTCCAGATATGCTCCTACACATCGCTGTTGGGTTCCTTTGCCGGGATAATTATGTTTATGCCACTTTCTGTTCTCATTGAGAAACTAACAGACGATGTTTGGACCATTTTGGAATATGTTCCTCCTGTAGAGGGACATGCCCGACTTAAGCCTAAGGCGCACATGCGGAGCAAGACGTCCGGCCCTCACGGGGCAGTGGCCGGGGAGCAGCGGGGGCTCCGCGGGGCAGCGGCTGGGCAGCAGCGTGGCCGAGGCGGCCCAGGGGCGGCGGAGGGCCACACGCCAAGGTTGGGCGTGGGGCGGGCCGGGGGAGACAGGGCCGCGCAGAGCGAGCGGGGCCGCGTCGGGGAGGCAGCAAGGGAGGCAGCCGGCCGTTGGCGACACGCATGCACGCACGAACGCACGCAGGCACACACGCACGCAGGCACACACGCACACACACACACACACACGCACACACACACACACACGCACACACACACACGCACGCACACGCACACGCACACGCACACGCACACGCAGCCGCACACGCACACGCACACGCACACGCACACGCACACGCACACGCACACGCACACGCACACGCACGCGCACACGCACGCGCACGCGCACGCGCACACGCACGCGCACGCGCACGCGCACGCGCACGCGCACGCGCACGCACGCGCACGCGCACGCGCACGCGCACGCGCACGCGCACGCACGCGCACGCGCACGCGCACGCGCACGCGCACGCGCACGCGCACGCGCACGCGCACGCGCACGCGCACGCGCACGCGCACGCGCACGCGCACGCACACGCGCGCACGCACGCACGCACGCACCGCACCGCACCGCACGGCACGGCACGCACGCACGCACGCACCGCACGCACGCACGCACTGACGCACGCACACACACACACACACACTCACACTCACACACACACACACCACACACCACACAAACCACACACCACACACACCCTCACATCACGCCCGCCGCCCCCGACTGACCGCGCATCTGTGCAGCCGCTGCGGCAACACGTCCCTCGCCGCCGCTGGACGCTGGCGGTGCCGGGCCACCTGTTGGCAGACTGGAGCCCCCCACGAGTAGCCCAGAGGGGTGGGAGGCCAAGGGGAGGAGCAATTCCATGGGATGGGACGAGGGAAGGCGTGCTGCGTCCTACACCACTCTGTCTGCTACTCCACATCATCCCCGACCTCCTCCTGCCCATTTCCCTCCTCGTCCCCGTTACCCACCCGTTCCTCCTCCGCTTGCTCTCCTGCGCCTGCTTCTCCTCCTCCTCCACGATTGTATCATTCAAGACGCGTCGAATTCACCACTCACCCATCCTAATTTGTCAACAAATGTTGCGAATATTTCGAGAATAAATAAACAACTACGGCCCCGCTGCCGTGTAAAAGCGTATTCCACAAAACTGCGCTAGCCTAAAATCAGGCGTTTTTGGCAATATTGACAGTCATGCCGTGATTATTGCCCAGAAGGTTGAATTATCACTATTTACAAAAAAACAGTTGTTCATAGTACCGCGTTTGGTGTGACGATGCCAGATCTTTGGTTACGACAGGTGTCAAGGCGGCAACGTTCGTTGTACCTTGTGTTGCTACTGGTGCTGCGTGCTTTAGTATTTATGGTGGTGTGGATGTTATCGTGGTGTTGTCGTTGCCGTGTCTGTTGTCGTTGTTGGATTTGTTCTCTTACAAGGTAGCGATATTGGTGTGAGTGTGGTGTTACTGTTACGGATGTAACTTTTACACTGTTCCGATGCTGATATTAATGTTCGCGCTGTGATTCCCCGCAAATGTGCGAGCATAAAAATGTATTACCCAGCCGCGCAAAGACTGTTCGATCGGAAATCTCTGCCGGCTAAGCTGGTACGATTACTGTGTATACCGTGTTGCTCATGTGCTAGACGCATCGTTTCTGCTGTTGGTGGTACTGCCGTCGTGTTGGCGAGATTCCTGCCGCGTCCTTATTGTTGTTGCTGTTATACATAATCATTTTCTGGTCACGATGTAATGTTGTTGGTGGTGCTGTTGAGGTTATCGTGGCGGTTGTTCGTTTTGTTGTTCCTAATGGTGTGGGACTTGCTGTGTTTCGACAGTTGCCGTGTGTTTTGCAGTGCATGTTGTTCACAGGGCTGCTACACATGGGCTCTACTGTGCTTACATTGTTGGCGATGTAGCTACATGTGCTCGTGTTCCTGCTGTTGGTATGTGCTTGCTATTGTTTCTCATCGGCGTTGCTGTTGTTGTTGTTGGCGTTGCTGTTTCTGTTGGCGTGGATGCCAGTGCCATTGAGAAAGATGGCGCCCCTCCTGGTGAGCTGGAGGCCTCTGTCGGCTCTGTGGGCCAAACTTGGCGGCGCGCAGAGGGGGGTAGCAGGAGGGGGGAAGGCTTCTTAGAAGGTGGCTGCTTCCTAGAAGGCGCGGGCCTTACATCCACAGATAAGGCCCGCGCCTTCTAATAAGCAGGGGTGCATCTAAGAAGCCTTCCCCCTAAACGGTTTCTCCCAGGGCCGTAGGCGACACGAGGAGGGGAGGGCGAGGAGGGGTAGGAGGGAGGATGAGGAGGAGGAGGAGGAGGAGGTGGAGGAGGGGGAGGAGGAGATGGAGGAGGAGGAGCAGGAGGGAGGAGGGAGGAGGAGGAGGAGCAGGAAGAGGAGGACGGGTCGCCTAAGCCCTTCGGAGAAACCCTCCCCTTCCCCCCTCTCCCTGCCTCCATCTGCGCGTGGCTGACAAACGGGGGCCCGGTGCCCTGGCGCTCAAAACGTGGCGACCTTCACGAAGATGGCACCACGCCCAGTCGGCCTGGGGCCTCTGCGGGCTCTATGGGCCCGTCGTGGGCATGGCGCCTTCTTACCCTTAGGTCGGACATGTCCCTCTACAGGCGGATGTTGGACGAAAAATCAGAAATATGCCAGAAATGCAAAACATGCTCAAAAATATGAAAGAACTCGTCCCCTGACTATTTGACTATTCCCCCTGTAGCGGGACAGGCCCGACTCAGTCTTATCCTCGAAGAACCGGTAACGGGCGACCTGGCCTTCGAAAGGTGGCGAGAGGGCGGCGCCGCTCCCGATGGGCTGGAGGCCTCTGCCGTCTCTGTGGGCCAGGGGCCGGGCGCAGTGGCCTTCGGATTGCCCCAGCAAAGCACCCAAACCGGAGCAGAGCACCCTAACAGCGGCAAAAACGAAGAGACGGGTCGAGGGGAGGGAGGTCGGCTAGATCGGCTAGATCGGTCGAGGGGAGGGCACGGCCATGTGAACCTCAATCTATTTTGTTGTGGATCGTGGCCGTGTGACAGGGATCACAGTACGGCCATGCGCACCGCCGTTGTGTATCGCTTTGGGATATAACACGGCCGTGTGACAGTGGTGAAAAGGCACGGGCACTTGCACCGTAGTGCTTCTAAAAAACATCGCGGCTCTGTGACAGGGGCGAGAGCACGACAATGCGCACCGTAAGGCATGTTCGACACGGGATCGCAGCCGTGTGGCATGGGTGGAAGCGCGGCCATGTGCACCGTTGTGTTTTTTCCATTGGGATCGAGGCCGCCCGGACCAAACATGTCGCCAGCATGAAGGCGAGAGCACCATCCTTACGTACATTGCCGTTCGCCGGGCGTTCACGAGCTCCCCTGCTCTCCTGTTGGATTCTTCTGTGGTAGACTCTGGCGAAACGCTGACAGGATAAAATGGCGACCCTCACGAAGATGGCGCCCCTCCTGGTGGGCTAGAGGCCTGCCGGCTCTGTGGGTCAGTCGTGGGCCGGGCGCCCTGGCCTTCCAAAAATGAGAACCTCCACGAGGATGCCGCCCCTCCTGGTGGGCCGGAGGCCTCTGGGGGCACTGTGGGCCGTGGGCCGATGTGTTAGCACAAGCGGTTCTTTCCTAGACATAAAGATTGCGATTTCGGAGACCTCGGTCAGCTTTGATCGTGTGGTTTTTGCTGCTCGTGCGCGGTTGCTGCTCATGTGATTGTGATTATGATCTGTCCCTTGGCGTTATAGCCGGAAGTATTACCACCAATGTTCCTGCTGCTTCCATTTCTGATGGTTGGTGTTGCTAGAGTCAGTCGCTCTGTTGTTACGGTGTGCTCTCAATGTTGCTACAGCTGTTGTTACGGCATGATGTTGCTAATGTTGCTGACACGGTTGTTGTTTTCGTTGTTGTTTCTACTGGCGTGGATGTGATCGTGTCGTTCTTCTGGTGTTTGCGGTGTTGTACACGTCGCTTGTAAGCTGCTAGATTCCCAACGTATGATGTACCATAATAATGGATTAACTAGTCAACATGCTTGCGTTTCCCGAGGGCTAGGCGGGCTTTGCTGATGCGAATGTTGCTGACTGCTGCTTCACGTGGTTGTTATGTTATTACGCTGTTGATAACTGTGGTATCACTGCGGTTGTGTGAATACTACGGCTGCTGATGTTGTTTCCAAATGCCGTCGATACTGATTAGTTGTACGATGGGTTGCTGTCATTACAGTTGTTATGATTGTGGCTGTTCCTATATCACTGCTTGGTGTTGTTCCTGCCCTGTGTTTCCTGCTCCGCAAAAGAGCTCCAGGTTCTCCAGGATCAGTCAGCATCGAATGGGGGAATCGGGTCGAAACGAACTGGGCGTCGGATCGGGCCGCATCAGCATGGAATCCAAATCGAATTGAATAGCCCGGGCACAGATGCACCATAACACCATGCGAAGATCGGGCCGTATCGGATCTTCGAAAATATTGCAATCGACTCGGATCGGGCCAACAAAAACCGATGTCGAACCGAATCGATCGGATCGAAATGGACCCTGCCTCTCCGCCTCGACCCCCAAAGTCAACACCAACTCCCCCTCCCACGACCCACCCTCATCATCCCCCCCTCCTCCGCCACGCACTCGTCGTCGTCGTCCTCCTCCTCCTCCTCCTCCTCCTCCTCCTCCTCCTCCCCCTTCTTATACTCCTCCGCTTCCAACCCCCAGTTCATCCTCATCCTCTTTTCCCTGACTTTCTTCCTCATCGTCCTTTTCTTCCTCCTCGTCCTTGTCACCAGCATTTCATCATCATCATCATCATCATCATCATCATCATCATCATCATCATCACCATCACCATCACCATCACCATCACCATCACCATCACCATCATCGTCCATTATCATCATCATCATCCTCACCAACACCACCATCATCATTACCATCAACAACATCGTCTTCATCATCATCATCACCACCGTAGCCGCCATTATCGTCATCACCAGCATCATCATTCTCATCATCGTCATCACCACCATCACCACCATCATCATCATCATCATCATCATCATCATCATCATCACCACCATCTTCATTACCATTACCATCGTCATCATCATCATCAGCAACAACAACAATATTATCATCATCATCATCGTCCTGATCATCGTCGTCATCATCATAACCATATCAAGTTCCTCCCTTATCCTCATCATCCTAGCCATCAGCAGCGTCAACATCAATCCCAAATGAACACGGAGGAGGAGGAAACCACGCCACAGGTTTTTACCTCCTAAGGTGTGCCCAGCGTGAAAAAAAGAGACAGGAGGAGGAGGAGGAGGAGGAGGAGGAGGAGGCGGCGAATGACCAACGGTGTGCAAAGGAGCTGTTAGGGCGCCAGGGGGGGCCGCCGCAGGAGGAGGCACGCGAGGCGTCTGGCCGCCGCCCTCAAGAAACCACGAGCCCTAGTCGTCGTCGTCGTCCTCCTCCTCCTCCTCCTGTTCGTTCTCCTCCTCCTCCCCCGCGTCATCCTGTGCCAACATCCAACGTACCCTCCTCCCGCACCTTCCAGAGGCCATGGGCTCCCGCGCCTCGCGGGAGGCGGGGGTGGGGGGGGGGGCTCGCTGGAAGGGGGAGAAAGGGGGAGGAGCGAGAGGAGGAGGGAGAGGATGAGGTGGAGGGGAAGGAGGAGGAGGAGGAGGAGCAGGAGAAGGAGGAGGAGGAGAGGGCGGACCCAGGGACGACCGACGACGGCGAGACGACACAATCAAGTTCGGGCGGCGGCGGCGCCGCTGCCGCGGGCGGCAGCGGCACGCCGC